TCCCTAAAACTGCATTGTTTCCAATTCCTTCCTTCCTGGGCTTGGAAGGGAGGCCTTGTTTGACTCGAGGGTTTCCTAGTGTATACCCTTGCAGAACCTCAGGCATAGGCACAATGCTGCTCACTCCTCTTCTTCCTCAGCCTGGCCTAGCGTTTGCTGCTTCTGTAGGCTGGATGTGTTTCCTGAGTAGCGAACATTCCCTTGCTGTGAGGTGTGAGTTAAAGAATGTAGACATTATCTCTCCACAAACACAAGCCCCAGAATGTGGCTGCAGGAATGAGCTGAGCAGTCCTGATTTTTGTAGATGGGGTCATTTTCCACAGAGCTGAAAAGCAAAGTCCTTTCTCTAAGGGTGAAATCTGTGCCTGTACCCAGGACTCCGGTGATCAATGATGTAGTTAGTCCCTTCACAGGATGTCCTCAGAGCTCAAGCAGAAGGACAGGGATGTGACAGGTGGTGAGGAAGGACCTACAGATATTGAAGGCAGAACACTAGTAAGGTTGGGGCAGAGCTGGTCAAATACAGGTGAGTGAGGAGCAGGTTGGAAAGCTGGGAGGTTGGAAACAGAAGGATCATATCCCTCAGGCCTATGGACTTACTCCAGGTACCATCCACCTGCTTGCTGTTCAGATACACACACATGCCAGCCCCTGATGTAGACTCAGGCAGTGTACGGAACATGACCAGAGAGGCACCAGCCCCACTTTACTCTAGTGGGGATGGCAGATTGTTCCAGATAGTCAGTGAAGCGGCAATGTAACTCAGGGTGGGTGCCGCAAAGGGTCAAGCTCTATGGAGAAGCCGCCAGTGAGATGTGCTGAGGGGTTGGATTCAGTGCTGAGAATACAAGCCCACTTGTTCCTTTTCATGGTGCAAACCTCACCCACCACCAAAATTTGTATAAAATAAACTGAATGTGAGTATCTTTAAACAATATAAAAGTTTGAGCCCCACAGAAACCATACAAAGCTGAAATTTGGCATCAGTGTGTAAGTTCTCTTGGGCACAGCCACACTCACCCACATGCTCGCTGCCTCTGCTGCCTTGTGCTTTGGAGGCGAGAGAGACCACATGACTTGCCAAGCCAAAAATATTTCCTATCTGCCCTTTTTATAGATAAGAATGCCAAGCTCTATTCTAGGTCCTTCTAGTACAGTGCTCTGTCTGCAAAGGTCTCTTCCACATCATCCCATCGTGTCCCCACTGTCCAGGAAGATGGGAAACATGCCTGGGAATAGAGAACAGAAAGAAGTTTCTGTCCTTGTCACACTTCTCTTCAGCTGGGGCTGATGTGAGGAGGACCCCTTGGTTAGCATCTTGCTACCTCTGGCATGGTCTGGGCAGTCTAGGGCAAGTATGGGTCTAGGGTGACCACTTAGTTAGAGAAGCCCTTTCCTGGCAGGTGGTTCTGTCCTGAGAGCATAGATTTGTATTTTGTAATAGACTGGGGGAATTCTGTATCTTTCCACTCAAAGCAATGGCACCTAAACTCTGTTTTTTATAGGCACACCCTCCTAGCTATGATTTGCCTGCAGACCTTATGCTTCTTGTTGGTTTGTTTGGGTTTTGATTTGTTTTTGATTCATTTTGCTTTTAAGGTAGGGTCTTACTGTGTTGCTTTGCCTGGTCTCACATCTGAGAACCCCCTGCCTCAGCCTGAGGATGTCTGTGATTGCTGGCATGCACCACCGTGGTGCCCAGCTCTTTTCTATTTTACCTTTTCCTACGCGAAATTACATATAATCCTCTTATGCAGAAGGAAGTAGATAATCTATTAGACATTGGATCCTAGGACGTTTGCAATGGTGTCTGAGGTTACAGTGGCATTTGAGGTGAATCTTTTTAACTTTCTTCTTACTTTTATATACTACATAATTAAAAAAAACATGAATCATCTTAATCTGCATAGAAAAGACCAGCCATTTTTGTTTCAAACAATAATAAGAATGGTGCATCTGCATGTGGGTGCTAAGGTTATTTATGTGGCTGTGATGTAACTGCTAGAGAGATGTGCCCCTGACAGCTCACCAATAATTGCAGGAGGGGAACGAACGGCTTTAGAATGTAAGGAAAATAAGAATGTGGTAGGAGGTGAGAGATGCGGAAATCAGGCCGTCGTTGTGGAGTGTAGAATGTTCCCAGTATATAAACCTGGCCTCACTGCCAGTGTTAAGAAGGATGGAGGTGTGGATTTTTGCTGATTCTCTCTCCCCCACCCCCCACCCCCGCCTCCCTTTGTGCTGTCTTGAGAAACAGAAGTCCTAGTAAGTCGGACTGTTTAAAAGCAGTACCTTGTCGCCCCCTAGTGTCCTTGTTCTGTTATGTCACCCTTGGACATCCCAGCAGTCTTCATAGTCTTTGTTTTGCAGTCTCTGCTCTGAAGCAAAAGTGTGCATGGTGGCTTGTTACCCACCCCTTCCCGTTGAAGCCACACAAAGTACATCTCTCCAACAGAGACAAGGGAGCCTCTTGCCAGGCAGGGCTGCAGCCAAAGCCAGCCATGTCTCTTGGCAGGAGTATGGCCTGTGGCTTCAGAGGCAGCCTAGGTTTGGGAGCACACAGTCGGCTTCTGGAAGTTTCTGTGCTGTTCCAAGCATGACTGCTCTAGTGTGCTTACCCCTCACTTAGCCCTTCTTTCCTACACCAGCTGCTGGTCTATGCCCCTCTCTCTTGAGTACCTCTCACTACCTGACTTCTCAGTTTTGTGTTCTGTTTATTCTAGTGAAAGACCCCCCGGAAGCTCAGGCCTCCAGGATCTCATCCCAGGATTGTGGTCACCCCAATCACCAGGCATAGTCAAAAGCTTGATGCAAACTGCACGAGGCTTTATCATAGTTGTTTAATGAGCTAACCCCATGTTAGCTCCCACCATGGCGGATGGCTAGGAAAGATGCTAGAAGTGTCTGCATAGAGCTCTTATAGGGCAGCGTAAGGGGAGTGTCTAGGGGTATGCACAGGCTCAGGATTGGTTTGCCTCCAGGCTTGGAGGGTTTGCCCTGTGTTGATTAGTCAACTGGTTGTTATGGCCCATAGGCCCTCCCAGGGTGGTTGCTATGTTCTGCACATCATTGTGTGCACTTGTCCGTAAAGCACACCCAGAGCCATAAATCATAGCACCACCAGCTAACTTCTGATTGGTTCCTTGCCACGAGGCAGGCATCCGACCTCCTAGTGACTAAGGCAAGGTCAGACAAGCACATGTTCGGCTGTTATGGCTGCCGAAATGGGGAGCTGGTCCCTTCACTAGAACTTGCCATTCTCCTAGTCTCATCCTGTCCTAATGTGTGGACAAACCTGTAGCTCCCTCTCGACAGCCTCCCCCCCCACCTCTGTGTTGCTGGGGGCAAGGGAGTCTTTGTCAGAACAACTTCACTTGGCCATCTGGACTTAGAATTTTCCAGTGGTTTCCAGGGGCTTCTGGGAGAAAAGCCAGAATTGTATTCTGGTTCTCCAGGCTTCTCAGTCCAGCTGTGCCCATCTTTCTACTGGCCACTCTTCCTGCCTTGGTCCCACCTAGTGCAGCTGTTAAGAACTTGGAATATTGCTCCTCTGTCCCCTCCAGGTCTTCACCAATCCCCACCCATATAGTCTTACTCCACTCTCAATTGGAAAGTGCCTCCATCAAGGGAATCAACCCATAGCAGGGTGTGGTCCCTCTCTGAGGAGTTTACAAGATCCTGACATGTTACTTCCTGATGTTTGCCCAGCCCTGTATCCGCTAACATAGGTGGTTCCTGCAAAATCCTCATTTCCCCTTGGTGACTCGTGGAAACTGGCTCCAAGAAGACATTTGTTTATGTCCAGAGACAAGTTTGGCTGTGACGGTGAAGAGAAGGGTGTCCCTCTTGACTGTACAGTCACTGGCTGCCTTCAAGAGCCAAGAGTGCCCCAGTCACCACTCTACAGGCTGATCCAGAGCTGTCGGTCCTGTAGTGAGTTGGCCCTAGACAGATGTGGTTCCTTTGCATCCCCTAAAGCTTCCCAGCTACGTGGATGGAAATAGACTGACCTTCAGAGGAAGCCATCCTTTCCGAAGGCACCTTTGCTTTAAAAATATTTAAAGAATGCATTGCATTTATACTTTAATCTGTTTGCAGTGAAATTTCATCTGCAATTTTAGTTAGTTGGATGGTCCTCCAGTCAGATGTTCTGGCTTCCTCAAAGAGTCCATGCAGAAGAAAAGTCAAAGGAGAAAACTTCATCAATAAAGTGTAACATGCTTAGGGGACTCTGAGTGATCCTTAAGACAAGGGGCAGATTTGAATATGGGCACTGAATGAGATAACCCCATTAACTTGCATGCACTTTTATAGGCAGGATGATGGCTATGAGATTAGATGAGAGATGTTCTTGTTCTTAAAAGTTGCAGGCCAGAGTATTTAGGACTGAAGTAACAAAGTATCTACTAATGAGTGTGTGTGTGTGTGTGTGTGTGTGTGTGTGTGTGTGTGTGGGGGGTGGGGGTAAGCATAGTAGTACATGACTGCAATCCCAGGACTTTGGGGACTAAGGCAGTAGAACCATAACTTTAGGGCTAGCCTGAGCTATGTAGCAAGACCATGTCTCGAAAAATAAAAAAAGAGCTGGGGAAGTGGCTCATTTAGCAAAGTACTTGCCTTGTAATCATGAGCACCTGAGTTTGATCCCCTGAACCCATATTTAAAAAAGAAATATTGCCATCTGTGAAATAAAACAGTGTGTAGGGCCTCAGTACTGAGTAGGTGGGCCTGTCTGTGGAAAGTTCCGGCCAGTGAGAAACACTGTCTCAAAAGTGGATGTCTCCTGAGAAATGACACCTCAGGTTACCATCCTCCTCCACACATTCACACATGTGGATGAAGAAGTAAATGAAGAGAGGAAGGAGTAATTGATGTGGAAGAGTGCTACTAGTCCTGGGGTGGCTGGGGTACGCACTTCCTGTAGAAGTGTTTCCCGTGTCAAGGGGCACACATTGAGTGACAGGTGGTACTGACGGCCTTTAATCTTACTGCGTCTTCAGTTTGCAGCTCTCCACCCATCCACATGAAGGTGCAGCCTCTGAACCAGACAGCACTGCAAGTGTCCTGGAGCCAACCAGAAGCCATCTACCACCCACCCATCATGAATTACATGATCTCCTATAGCTGGACCAAGAATGAGGATGAGAAAGAGAAGACATTCACTAAGGACAGTGACAAGGACTTGGTAAGGCTCCCTCGGGTCGAGTCCAGGTGCATACTCCTCTCACTGTACATAGTGAGTGTATCTCCTCCTATAGGGAGATAGGATATTGCAACAGAGAGTCCCTAGAAGCTGGCCGGCCCGCTGCCCTGGGTATACAGAGCAGTGGACAACACTGTGTCTGCAGCAAGATGGAAAGCAACGACCACACCTGATAGTGTCCTCTTCCCTCCACACACATGCTGAGGCATATGGATGCTCATACTCAACACAGGAGCATACCACACACACACAGGTTTTCCCTTATAAACTGGCTGCTTTTCATTCGGCCCAAACAAGCCCCTTTCTTCCAGTCAGATTGTTATGTAAGTGCACTGCAGGTCATGACACTTAGTGAGCACTGTGTGAGTATTAACTCTTGCAATTACCCCACCCCTGCTTCCACGCCCTTATCTTTTCTATGCCTGCTGCTGTCCACAGTCCCCACTGCCCCTTGTCCCATGTGTGAATACACACTCTCAATTGCCTGCTGGACTTCAGGGTACAGGGGACTTTTTACTCTGCATTGTTGTAGATGCTGTGACATATCTGACCTCACTTTGACCACACAGACCAAAGCCAGCATCTCTTTAAAAGGCCCTTTGGGCATCTGCTTGTAGAAGCTATTCTCCCTTACCGTTGTAACCCCCCAAGAAGCTCTAGTCTGTAAGACTTTACACGGAACTCAGAGTGACACATTTGGGTTTGAAAGCCTTGCTGCTTTATTGTTAATCAAAGGAGGCCCCAGAATAATGAAGCCTGTAATTGTATATGCAATGAAAGATGCTTCAGCTCAGAGTGGGACTCTTAATGACTTACCACTTTTTTTTTCTCCCAATAGAAAGTCCTCGGGGCTCATTCAATCAGTCATAGAATAATACTTTTCATATTCCTTTAGATGAAGATTCTTTTACTTCATTTCCATTTATATTTTCAATTCCCTCACTAGACATTGTTATCTGGGTCACATGAGGGAACATCGTGAAATGGGAGAAGGATGTATCCGAAGGCACCCAAGGTCGCTGTGTGCTTTAACCTTTATCTTTCACACTGGAAGTCCATCAGAAATCCCTCCCTCGATGAAGTCAAGCTTACATTAATCAGCAGAAACCATCTAGATGCTCCTTCCGTTTCTTGTTCTAAGTGGGAAATAAATATGCAGGGAGGAGGAGTTCTAGTAAATTCCCACTTAGATGGAGTGAAGATTTTACTCTCAATAGAGGGTGGGGCAGAGTGGGTTCAGGGGAGAAAGAGAGCACATTCCATTTCACAGGAATTTCTAGAGACTTTCTTCCCCACTTGAGACACAAAATGAAGTTTCTTATTTCCACCACATGTGGGGAGTGCTGACTCAGGGCAGTGCTCTCCTCCAGCTTATGGTTACCACGAGGCTTTTCCAGCCTCTTGCCCCACATCTTCATCACAAACCCGTGTTGGTGCTCAATGCTTTCTCTGAGAGACCATGGTGAAGTCCCTGTTCCGTCTGGAAGTTGTTCCCAGTTGCAGCAGCCAGGCACATGCTAATACCAATCTAGACGATTACGGTGGCTGTGCCAGGAAAACCCCCTTGGTAGTTCAGTTCAGACTGGCCCAGACTTCACATGTCTGCAAGGAGACCCAACACCCATTAGAAGGAACCCCTGGAGATCAGTGGCATTCCCTGTTTGTTTTGCCAGAAACAGTACTCATGTTCCATTTCCACAGTGCTAAGGGCTGTGTAGATGACATATTGAGGAATGGTGACCAGGATGTGGCTGGTGATGTCTGATGACAGTTGACAAACATGTTTTCTAGAAAGGGCCAGGCAGTAGGTATTTTAGGCCTTCAGGTCTTATAGTCTGTCATTATGCCCTAACTTTGCCACACACAGCAATGGACATGCCTATGTGCCAGTGAAACTTAATTTGTAATGACAGATGACCTGCTGGATCTAGCATATAGGTTGTAACTTGTCAATGTTCAGGGAAAAGTAACAATACAGAACACATGTGTACACACTTGAGCTCACACACATACTCACACAAAACAATGTGACAATAAAACTTTATTTATAATAAGAGATGGCCTACTGGATCTAGAATGCAGGCTATAGCTTGTTGACGCTTGCTGCTGCTAGGTTCCATGTTCCTACGAGCAGAGATTGCCTGGCCTGTGTTACACAGCCCTGTTAGGTAGCCTATGCCTCTTCACATAGTACAGAAGCTGGAAGACATTTAGTGCATGTTTCAGGGTCACACAGCTAGAGAGTAGTGTGACAAAGTCACATCTTATAACTCTGTTGATTTGTTCTTTGTATGGAGGCCTTAAGACAACAAGAAGAAAACAATCGAGGCAGAGAATTTCTTATTGATTTTTTTTTTAAAGTCTACATGGCTCAGGAGTTCTTTTATTTAATAACTGTAGAGGGTGTTGTGGATAATAATTACAGTTTCTGAGCTATAGTGATTATGACAGAAGTCCAGGCACCAAGAGCAGGAAGGCTGGAGACATGTCCCAAGCTGTGAACCAGTCGCTGGTATTTCTTCTGTGTTGAAAACAGATTCCCTTATAAGGATATTTCTAAGCAGTTTTTTTCTCTAGAGAAAGCCTGCAGTTGGGACTCTGGGATGCCCAGATTTGTTTGTGGGTACACCACATCTATGAGTTTTCAAAACTAACTCAGTGCCCTCTCTTTCTGCCCCTACAGAAGGCCACCATTAGCCATGTGTCACCTGATAGCCTTTACCTATTCCGAGTACAGGCCGTGTGTCGGAACGACATGCGCAGTGACTTTAGTCAGACAATGCTCTTTCAAGGTAAGTCTGGTTCCTCGCCGTGACACCCAATATGCCTGAAGCTGCTTGTGTCTTGGGTTGGGGGGCTTGTCCAGAAGTAAGGAAACTTGGTCCATTAAGGGTGTAAGCCATATTCAGGGAGCTCTGGCCATTTAGATCTGTCTTTGGGTTGGAGGTTTCAGAGGCAAAGAGAAGAGAGGGAAAGCAGTACTGTGTTTGCATTGTTTGGTTGATGTTTCCAGCTGTACCTCTTGCTTCAGGCTATATCAGATGGTGTGGTGTTCCCGAGTCTGCCCCCCCCATCATCCCCCCATAGTCTCTTACTTAGATGTCCAGCATAACTGATCTTCACTGCCTTTAAAAGAACTAGAGCCCAAGATACAAAATGTGTCCTTCTAATTTGCAAGCCACACAGACAAGTCTGTCTGTATTGTATGTTTATGGTTCCTGGTCTGGAGATCTATGTTCTGTGCTGACTGGGGACCTATAGGAGAGGGGCCAAACTGAGAGTAAAGCAAATGGAACTTTGCCTTCTTGCATTTTAATTTTGAATAGTCAGCACAAAGATTTCATGAATGAAATAATTGGAAGTTAATTTTACCTATTTATTTTTTGGTATGAGTATTTTAATGTGTGTATATGCACCACATACATGCAGTCCCCATGGGTAGGGCCAGAGGAGGGCTGAAGATCTCTGGAACTGTAGTAACAGACAGTTGTGAGCTGCCATGTAAGTGCTGGGAACCAAACCCAGCTCCTCTTCTAGAACAGCAAGTACTCTTATCAGCTGAGCCATCTCAAGCTCCAGAAATATTAGAACTTTAGATAGGTCGTAGCTCAGTAATGAAGCATATACTTAGCACACATAGGCTTAGGTTCACTTTCTAGCACAATAATATAATAATAACAAAAAATTATAGAAGTAATGGTAGGACATAGCCTGTCTTTCCTGCCCTATCCTATTCCTAGCTCTCATATTATTTACAGAAGTCAGTCATCTGTGGGCCTTAGTTGTGAATCCAGTTTCATAACAGACACTAAATCTGTCATGAAACTAAAGGTCAGGGCCTCAGGCTCCACACAGAGACTCCGGCTGCTCAAGCTGCTTGCTTCTCCAGGGCCTTGGCTTCCCTGTCTATGAAATGAAAAGCCTGAGCACCATCACGCTGTTAGCCTGTTTGCCTTGCTGTGTCTTTCTGTAACAGAGTTCCTCTAGGCATATGTGACCATTCTCAGCAGATTCTTAGCTTTTGAGTTGTGGATCTGATTAAACATCTGGACTTTCCCCTAGAAAATGCCACAGATGTGTATAAAATTAGAGACCCTATAAGCCACATGGCAGGTTGCATCATCAGCATCTGAAGCCTCTGAGCTATGCACCTTCACAAACCCCTTAAACCAGCTGCTTCCAAATCCTGGCAGTGGAGCCTGGCTACATGAGCACTAGCAAGCCTACCCTAGTGACTGGCAGGCACATTAAGTGGTGAAGAATGTCAAGTTGGTGCTGGGCTCTGCCGGAAGGGTGCTGGGTGCACATCTCAGCTGCCAATCATTAGCTGTGCCATGCTGACAACATGTGTTGTCTCTCAAGGCTGCTGTTTGCCACTCCAAAAGCAAGTAGCATTTACAGGCTATCCGTGGGGGCCATTGTACACTAACACCAGACGACATACATCAAATATTACCATAGCATAAGTCACGGGACTATGAACCAACCACTCCTTATGCGTTGCTGTGAAGTGTTTGCCTATACTTTACCACTTGAACATCCCCAGCCCAGACAATGTGACATCCAAATGCTCCAGTATCCAAAATCCTACAGTTTCAGCCTTCATTAGGTTTGGTAGAAAATAGTAGTAAACAATGAACCCAGGGGGGAAGTTGTCCAGCAGAGATTTCTTCCAAGGAGCTGGAATTTACATGTGGCATTTAAACATTCTTTGCTAATGATTTCATCTTTCTTTTTAAAATTAACTGAAATTTACCATAGTTGCATTTTTTCATAAATAAATCTGTGTCCATAGATATACAAAATATATTATCCCATGTTGAGCAAGCACCTTGGGCCATGGCAGGGTCTGTGTGAGGCAAGGGGAGGGAGAAGGTAGGCCAGTCTGGGAGCTTGCTGTGGCCAGGCCTGGGAACTTTAGATCCATAAATCATGATTAGGCCTCCCTTGCCTGAACCCCATGCCTAGGAGCTGCAGAGCTGCCTCCTTTTTGATTGATAGTTTCGGGCTGCCTGGCCTCTGAAAAATTAAAGGTTTATAATATAATGCAATTCTAAAACATCCCCATCAGGTATAAATTCAGAGCAGGGAGCATTTTAATGTCTGGTCACAGTGGCTTTTTGAAAATGGCTGGTGTCCACACGGGTTTTCCATCTCTGCTCAGAGATGGACCATTGACCCCTTAGTGTGTGGCATTTGCCCCCATGTGTTGATAAAGGAACAGATCCCTTGTTTACACCTCCCCACAAGAGCCCTGTGCCAACCAGCACCTTCATCAAGGTCGGCCCCCTGCCCTTTTCTACCCAGCCCCAGAGCAAGGTGCAAAATTCCCCTCCTATTCAGAGTCAGAAAGGAAACAAGATCTTGAGAATTCCAGGGACGTTTTCCCCATGGTAACTGTCTTTAGAAAGAAATTTACATCAGATTTAGGAGCACAGAAACCCACGTGGGGTATTACATGTGGTGATTATAACAATATTTATGATATGATATACGAAAGCATTGGGCTGGTGACGTAGCTTGGCTGGTAAAGACAACCTCTACCAGGCCTGCAGACCGGAGCCTGATCCTCAGGATTCACACGATAGGAGAAAACTGACTCCAGAAGATTGAACTCTGACCTCAAGCCATGTATCCATGACATGCACATGCTGTGACATGCACAGGTACACACAGGCACACGAAATAAGTAAATAAATTAATGAAGTGGAATAAAACTAAGATACCAATAACTATACTTAGCCACTGTGATACATGGATTAGCAGCACTAATAGCAAGCAACATTACAGAGTGTCACCACTTCAGCTGCTTCACCCAACATCACATGACAGTTCATCATGTAGGGTTCTCGTTGGCATTTTGTTTGTTTAGGAGCATGGTTTGGCTCTGTCTTACAAGTGGAGAAATTATGTTCAGAATGTAAGTAAATTTCAATAAATCTCTTAGCTACTGAATGGAGTTCTGTGTTCTTATTCTAAGCTCCATGACTCGTGGACAGTGGTGGACCACCTAAAGTACATGCCACTCACTGCACCAGGTCTTCAGCCCTGAAGAGAACAGGCCTGATGGGTAGTGTTCCAGCCACTGCACAGTGCTCAGCAGTCGGTCACTGACGGGGCCTCTGGAGTCTTCCCTCTGGGCATAAAACTCGTTTAGGCCCATCCTCCCTCACAGTGGTCTTATGAACTAAAATTTATCAGGGGGAATCAGTTAGATTCATACACACTTGTCACAATATTTGAAACAAATCTGAGCTGTGGTGATGCGTGTGTGCATTTAATGAAAGCACCAAGTGACAAGCCGTTGGTCCTGGAGCTGCTTTCGTTGCCCAGGAGCGATTAACATCAGTGATTCCCTGAAATCACTGAGTGGATCTTGTGATACAAAGGTATCAGATCTCAGAGACAAAAACCGGCTTCCAGAGGATGCAGCCAAGGCTCGCCCTTCCATTTCCTGGAGGAAATGCGTCATCCCTGGAAGTGCAGGGAAAGTGCCAATGTCCTAGCTCCTTTTTAGCAGCATTTGCTTGGGCCCCTTGATCCTAGGAAAGCACTCATGAGCCGAAAGGCCCCGAGTAATCCAGCAGCAGCACTGCGGCTACCCAGGTAGACTGTTCAAGACTAATAAAGCCAGTGGGCTGATGGAAGGGCTACTTTTAAGGGCTCCTGGGAGCCTTTTATCTTGTGCTGAGTACTCAGTAGTCATGGGGTGTATTTTGTTCCTGGTTAGATTCGCTGCCATAGCTGCCTTATTTGACCTGTAATGGAAAGTTAAATTGACTTGTAGATCTGTCTCCACATTTCTTTCTTTGCACACTGTACTTAAACAAAGCGGGTCCATCATTAGGTCAGGGGTTGTGAACTCGGGTTTCCATGGGTCCTGTCATGGGTATGTATGATAAAGTGAGAAACAGGACACCGTGTGCCCAAGAAAAGGAATGGTAGATGCTAAAGTTAATAACACATTCACTGTCTTGTTTTGGGTTTTTTTTGGTGGAGTGCAGGGGAGGGGACCTTTTTTTTAATTTTCATCTTATAGGGCAAACAAAAACGTGTAAGCCTCTTGCCATTTCTAGATTAGGTAAAAAGTATAGCAGATATGTTCCTCACTTTGTTAATTGGTATTTTTGGTTGTTTTGATGCTTTGCGTATAGGAGGCAGGTCTTTAGTTTACAGAATGCTCTTGTTTGTTAAATAACCAAAAAGGTTATAATATTTCTATTGTAAGTTATGATTATTCAGGAGCCAAATGTGTCTCTGCAGATAAACAGCTGAACAGATTTGTTGGTAGAGACACACAAGAGAATATTATTGAGCATTTAAAAAGATAAGGAAATTCTGGCCCATGCCTAGATTGCAGGGGTGACATTTAAGGACATTATGCTAAGTGAAGTATATCAGTCACAAAAATACAAATGGGCATGATTACATTCATATGCAGTATCTAGAATAGTCACATGCGGAAATAGAAAATACCACCATGTTGTGGTTCCCAGGAATCCAGTAAAAGGAAATGGGTTGGTGGGTGTGTCCCAGGGTTTCATTTTACAAGATGGTGGGGAGGTCAGCTGCACCCTAGAGCGAATGAACTGAGCGTTACCAGAGCAGACACTAAAAATGGCTGACATGGTAAATTTTATATCCTTTGCCTCTTAGTACAACTTGATATATACTGGTTATATTGCTTAAGAATACTGCATGGGAGAGCAGAACTCCAAGAAGAAAAGAACATGAGATAGGTGTGCAGTGAAGATAGAATGATGTGACCACGTAAAACATACTTATAAACTATCAGATAAATAACCAGGAAGAGAGTGCTTGACAGTACACAGTGACAGGAAGGCAGTAGAGTTATTGCAAGAAACAGTAAAAGAACCAATCTAAGATAGACTGTAGGCTGGCAAGGTGGCTCCATTTGTGAAGCGGCTTGCAGTCAAGCCTGATGAGCTGAGCTCAGGCCCACATGACGGAATGAGAGAACCAACTCCACAAAGTTCCCAAAGTTGTCCTCTGCTGTGCTCTCCACTATTCTCTCTCTCCTTCCCCCTCTCTCCTCTCCTCCCCCCTCTCTCTCCTCCACACGCACCACTTCCCGCCTTCTGATAAAGAAATACATGCAGAAATGTAAGACTTTAGAAAACAGTAAACCGTCATAAATTAAAGATGCATATTAGAATCACTGAAAGGATGAGAAATGGTGACCAAAAAAATTATATGAAATTCAGAAGACCAACAGCACCTGAAAATGCTTCTCAGTGTGAGTGGTAGTTACACGGGTAGTAGGTGTATCAATAATTCACCTGTCCATTGGCATCTTAACTATTGTTGAAGTTCTGTCTCAGTAAAACAGAACTATAATAATTACACATTTAAATGAATTGCTTTCAGGAACAGCTGGCTAGATCCCCATTGTCTGAACATGTCTGCATGACTCAGAAGAGCGTCATAGGTTGAAGTGGTTGTAAAGTGTATAAAGGAATAGTATTTTGTGACATGAAAATTATGTGTAGTTGAGATTCGTGTGTCCATAAGTAGATTTTATTGGAAACACATATGAATGTTGTGTGTTGTTTACATTGTAACTTCCTTGTTTCTCAGCTAATACCACCCGGATATTCCAAGGGACCAGGATTGTGAAAACAGGAGTGGTAAGTGGAGAATGCTGGGGTGCTGTCGCTGGTGTTTATTTGGTTGCAGTTAAAGCTCTTGCCACAAGGTGTCAGTATAATGTTGTTGAACTGCCTGCATAGAGCAGTTCAGAGACAAATACACATTTTGCTGTATAAGTTAGTGTACTATGCAGCAATATTAGTGGCTTCTGTTGTATAATTTTGTCAATATAAAAATCTTCCAGATTTGTAATTATTTATGATTCCCTGGAATCAGATGATAAGTCATTATCCAGAGCCCTTCACTCATGCTATGCTAAAATCCAGAAATTGTCACCCACAGCTACTAATAAATTACCAGTGCTGGGGATAATCACAATGAAACTCCCTAAGCATATTCCAGCTTCCAGACACAGGTTATTCTATTTACATCTCTGAACAGCCTGGGATGGTAGAATTATTACTCCCATTTGACAGGTGAAGAAACTGAGGCTCAGTGAGTTAAAGTACTGGGCCCATCATCACACAGAGTGAGACAAAAAGTCAACTCAAAGCTTGGATGAAGAAGGACTTTTCTGTGCTTGGTGCTTAATCTTATATGACACTTGACTTTCATTAGTGAGCTTCAGAACTCATTATCCTTAAACTGCAAGGTTTTCCATGTAAAACTGGATGAAGTTCCAAAATGTGACTTGTTCTGACTATTGTTTTAGACTTGTATAACTAATGAGATAAAATTTGGGGTTCTCTATACCAGCTCATAAGGACTGAATTTGAACTGCTATACCAGGACATCTCCTGGTTTTGGTAGAAAATGACTCCATGAGTAACACAGTCACTGTGCCCCCGTTGAGTGTAAGCAGAGCATGCATTGAGCCCCGACCTCAGCAACCCTGCCTCTGGCTTTGCATCCTTATAGCTTAATAAACCCATCACCTCTGTGCCTTCATTTCCTCACCCAGGGAACAGGCAACACGGTATGCCCAAGCCACTCTGTAAGTGGAATGCCTGATGCTGTCCTGAATGTTGCAATCTACAGAGGCATAAATTGCAGTGAGGAGAAACACAGACACCCTGAAAGGCCCTGTGGCTGGGCTGCACTCAACTTGAAGCTGTAGAGGCATGTAGAGCTTGTGTCCAAAGTTTGGCCCTTCCTTCTGACACTGCCACTGCTGATATCGGCCGACCGCCTTCCCTCTTGGTTTACTGACTGCCTCACTGTATGATGGTGGAATTAACTCCATCTGGTGGTTCTCTACGTCTCAAAGCTAGGTAGTCACTAGCAGAAACGGACTTGTAGCGTTGACTTCCGCTTCTCACACCCCTCCACACACACACACACACACACATACACAAATGGTGGGCATCTGGCTGTTTTGAGACTTATTTGTTGCTTCTTTTTAAGGCATTTTTAATGCTTCTGTTTCCCCATCTAGCCCAATCCTGAGCCACAGAAGTGAAAAACAGAATTCGATACATAGTTAATTTTTTAATCCAAAGTAATAGTAATTATAAAGCCACAAAAATGACACGTGGATACCCTGGACCAGCCCTGCTCAATGCCATAGCTTAGGAAAGGATAGTTGGCTAAAATTCTGAGGTTTTGCAGAGGGGCCTTGATTTGATTCTTGATTACTGATACTGCTCTATTCTTTTTCCTTCACCTCCCTTCTCCATGATCTGGGTGGCCCTTTCAGCCGACAGCCTCTCCTGCCTCTTCAGCAGACATGGCCCCCATCAGCTCCGGCTCTTCTACTTGGACATCCTCCGGCATCCCCTTCTCCTTTGTTTCCATGGCAACTGGGATGGGTCCTTCCTCCAGTGGCAGCCAGGCTACAGTGGCCTCTGTGGTCACCAGCACGCTCTTAGCAGGCCTGGGCTTCGGTGGTGGTGGCATCTCCTCGTTCCCCAGTACTGTGTGGCCCACACGCCTTCCTACGGCAGCCTCAGCCAGCAAGCAGGCAGGGAGGCCAGTCCTTGCCACTACTGAGGCCTTAGCTTCTCCCGGGCCTGATGGTGACTCAGCTCCTACAAAGGACGGCGAGGGTGCAGAGGAAGGGGAGAAGGAGGAGAAGAGTGAGAGTGAGGATGGAGAGCGAGAGCATGAGGAGGAGGGAGAGAAGGACTCTGAGAAGAAGGAGAAGAGTGAGGCCACCCATACAGCAGAAGAGAGGAACCGGACTGCTCCTGCCCCCACACCTTCTTCCCCCCGTAGGACTGCAGAGGAGGGAGGGCATCAGACTATACCTGGGCACAAACAGGACCATGCTGCCTCTGCAACAGACCAGCCAGGCTCTGTTGCCCCGGGCTTGGATCCCCATGAGGACATAGCCACCCAAGTGCCCCCAACAGCCACAGAGGAACATTATTCAGGGAGTGATCACAGGAGACCCGAAATGCCATCTAAAAAGCCTATGTCCCGAGGGGACCGATTTTCCGAGGATAGCAAATTCATCACTGTTAACCCCGGTAAGTGGTGCTGATCCATATCCAGGCTGTTGTGAGCAGGCTGGACCTATTTCTTAAAGTTGGGGGGCACTGGGGAAGTAGATAATATCCTTGGGATTGTGTGTGTCCCTGACATATCTATGCCTGCAACTGCATCTTCTTGTCTCAGCCTGGTAAGATATAGTCTCTTGCCTGGAGAGCAAGTCTTTCCCTGTGCTTCTGTCTTCGGAAGAACTTCAAGGCCTCACACAGAGATCCAAGTGAAGGAAGCAGGCTCTGCTTCTAAGATGTTTGCCTGTTCCTGTTCTATTCCTGGGTGGTAGAAGTCAGGTATACAAAGAAAGGTAAATTGCTTGCCTTGAAAGCATGCACTTACGTCCCCTGCACTGGGGGGACAAGAGTCAGGCAGATTCCTGGGGCTCAGTGGCCAGATAGCCTACCCTATTTTGTGAGTTCCGTGTCAATGAGAAACCCTGTCTCAAAAAACCAAGATGGGTGGCTCCTGATGAACAGCGTCCAAAGTTGTCCTCAGATCCCCAAATTCATGTGCATATGACAACACAGGTGTGCGAATGTGTGGGCACACGCATGCCCACATGCAAGTTTCCCTTCCCCCCCTCCCAGGCACGTACATGTGCACGTACACACAGACATTTTTATTCCTTGGTCATTTATTAAATGCAAACACATCTATTTCTGGGTAGCCATTGTTCTGCCAGGCACTAGGCTAGATGCTCTGCCAGGGAAGCCCCCTGCCTGCATCGTGGAATAGAGGGTGTGACAGAGAGATGACTGACAGCAGCTGGCCAGAGCACATTCCAAGGAGTTAGGTAATGGGGACTTGGGAGAGCAAGCTGCCAAGATGAGTTTTTTGGGCAAGCCAGGAGAGTACCTAACTGGGATGTTCTATTGTGAAAGAGTAATGGAAGAAATAGGATGCTGTGACTGACAGTTATGGGGAAAGGTGACATGTCCAGTCTGGGGAGTCCTGGTCTTAGTAGTCCATGGTCCTAGCCCAAGCAGTTTGGCTGGCTGTCCTCAAGCTGTCACTGGCTACATAAACTACCCATTGATAGCTGGGAAGCCGCCATGACTGGTTGGGCCTCCACTTGCTGTGACACCAGAGGCAATGTTTTTCCTCAGTCACATGTTCAGATCTTAATGAGCCGTCATGATGCTTGTGCCGGAGCTGTGGCATGAGGGGCTGCTACTGTTGTGAGGGCTTTTCTTAATAAGAACCCCTTCGTGTTGCCAGACTGCAAGACGTTTAGCAACAATGTTTTTTTCATTTAAGCTGTTGTGGAGTTATGAGTGCAAAAAAAAAAGAGGCAACTGGTAAATATTTATTTGCTTTTGCACTTGTAAACATTAAAATTCATCTAAAGCTGAGATCTCGTATGTTAAGATACAACTTAGAATACATTTTCATGTTTTGAATTACTTTCCCTTAAAGCTGCTATGAACTAATTTTTTTCTAAGTAGGGGTCTCCCATGGGTGTCATTCAGTGCAGGGCAGTTTGACAAAAAGGCAAGTAGCCTTGAATAGATGCAGGAAGTGTGGGGTCGTTGATGAAGCTGTTCTTGTATGAGCTGGGCACTCCCTCTGAGAGACTGCTGTGTAAAAGTTGAATTTCTTGCATGTCAATATAGTAAAGAATACGGAGTCTCTTCCCACTGTGTGCCAGGCTCTAGACTAGGCATTAGGGAGAGACTGTTGATGGAGACTTCTGTTCTCCCAGGGGCACATGCTGGTGAGAGAGGTTTAGGATATCCCAGCAAACAAAAGCATTTAAAGGGAGAGCAGTGTGTGACCTCTGGGTCAGCCACTCACAGACACATGAGAGAACGTACTAGGTTGCTGGATTGGCAGGTCTAGAGATCCTAGACTGGGAATGAGTTTCGATGTGTTGAGAAGCTCCCTCCATGCCTGTGGAGCAGGACCATAGAAAGGGAGGAGTGGTGATAAGAATTGAGTTCAGACACTGGGACAGCCAGGAAAATGAAGGGAGCATTGGTCATGCTGAGGGTTAGATTTTAATTGAAATGACAAACCAAACGGTAGATACTAGCAAGAGAAGTGACTTGTGCCATTGACTTTTTCTCAAGAATGCTTGCATATGCATAGAGATGGAGGTAGTGGCCTTGTGGCTTGGGCAGTGTGCTTCTTCTTTAAGACAGGGGATGGGGTTGGACTGAGTGGCCTCAGCCTGCTTCTCAGAAACAGTTCTTTTACCGTGCTTCTGTGAACACTTTTACAAGTGTTCACAGCTTGGGAAGCTGCAAGGCTGGACTCCAAGACTAATTCTGGTAGAGGGTGGACCTCAGATGCCAGGGAAAGGGAGAAGCAAATGAACCTTGGGATCCCCAAACCCAGCTTTCATCTCTCTTCCATTGCCTTCTGGCAGCAGCGGAAGGCATTGACAGTTTGGTGGGAATGGCTTTTAGAGTCAGCTTAACTCACTTGGTCTGTCCCCTCATTCTCTTGACACTCCAGTAAGCTTGTGCCCAGTGACCTTGTCTGCAAAGTGCAGGTAACAAGAGGGCATCAGTGCAGAGATAGTGTGATAAAGCTGCCTGTCTTTTTTTTTTTTTTTTTTTTTTTTTTGGTGCTGGGGAGGGAAGGTTTCCAGACAGGGCTTCTCTGTGTAGTCCTGGCTGTCCTGGAACTCGCTCCATAGACCAGGCTGGCCTCAAACATAAATCCACCTGCCTCTACCTCTCCCAAGTGCTGGGATTAAAGATGTGCATCACCACTGCCCAGATAAAATTATTGGAATGCTACAGAGAAGTTTAGCATTGCTACTGTGCAAGGATGACGTGCAAACTCATGAAAGTCAGCAGTCTGTTAGTGCTAAGGAGGGCTACCAGCAGCCAAATGCCACATAACAATGGGAACTTTAAGGAGGCATCGGTGTGTCTGTTTTGCAATCTGAATGAATGTTAAAGAGCAGTTTCCCAACTACCTGAAGTTAAAATGACCTACATGAGTTTGATAATACAGCTAAGTTAACAGAGTGCTTGTTAATCATGCAAAAAGCCATAGTTCCAATCCCCAGCACTGCATACACTAGGCATGATAGCACATCCCTGTAACCCCCCACAATGCATACACTGGGCATGGTAGCACGTACCTTGGAGGGTGAGACAAGAAGATCAGAAATTCAAGGTCATCCTAAGCTCCATGAAGTTCAAGGGCCAGCCTGGGGTACCTGAGCCTGTCCAGGAACACTCATCTGTCTCGTGATCTCTGTAGTCAGAACAGCCAGGTGCATTTGTCCCTAAAGCCACAGAGAATGCTCTGAATTTCTGGGGATTTGAATTTGAAAGTGGTTCTGGGTTGAAACCTTGAGTTACAAACCTTTAGGAGAGAAACGCAGTAGTAAATAGTTTTTACAGGCCACAGTTCTCAGTGTTAGAGCACACCCAGCCATGGACAGGATAGCAGTGAGTGGTTGTGACTGTACGCCAAGCGATTCTGTTCATAGAACTGTTCATAGAAACAGGCAGTTTGATTTGGCTTACACTCTGTCTCTTTCCAGCCTCCGGAAAATGCAAGGTGTGTGTGTGTGTGTGTGTGTGTGTGTGTGTGTGTGTGTGCATTGCTTAATAAAAGATTGGAGTAACTGAGGGGGATGGTCAGCAAAGCCTCATCAGTGTGTAATCCCAAGATGTCGTCCTTCCTACCATGTCCCCCATCAACTCTTCCAGTTTGGGTTTGGATTGGTTTTGTTTTAACTGAAATAATGGTGATTGATCTTAGAAATTTGGGTATACATTTATTTATTCCACAGTTAAATTTCTTCCCACGAAGTCATAAAGTCATTGAATACATCTTCAGAGTCTTTGAAAAATTAACAATGCCTAAAGTCAGCAAAGTGTGTTACACTTTAGCCAGTATCCCCAAAAGGCTTGCTTACATTCCTTCCATGACGGTGACATCACTTACATGGCTGAAATCCTTTGTGAAAGCAGTGGCAAACTCAAACATGCAGAAATCAGACCAGGCATTTCAGTGAGAGGGAAGGACCAGATATTACACATCTCAAAGTGTCAAAGACAGTAGCAAACTTAGACCACCTGCCTTTTCTCAGTCTCGCCATCTCTGCTTCCCACCATTGTCACTGGAAACTCTTTGTGAGTCAGAAATTCTAGTTTTTGTGCAGAGTACCCAACTTTTCAAATCTTAAAAGCAGTTTGCTTTGGCACATTTAAACTAACTGTGTCCCTGCTACTCTGAAGTGGTAACTGCTGTCATTGGTCACTCACTGTACTGGCAGTGGTCTTGTGGCCTGGAGGGTGTGTGTATATGTGTGTGTCCTTCACCAAATCTTTTCCTAACATCATCTAGTGCCCAGGCCAGCCTCCTCTGGGTCAGTGCTGTATGGACATTTAACCTGTGAGTCCTCATTAGGAGCCACAGCCTGCCATGTGGTGGCAGATTTGAAGCCGGCTGATGTAGTACCTGGGTGGTGTGTGAGAACAGCATGCCCCAACATAAATATTTGCGGGCACATGTCACCTGTGAGTTCCTCATTTAGGACAGGGCTTGTCTATGTCTGCCTCCTCAGGTGAGGGAAATGGTAGTTTTCAGATCACATCTGCTTATAAGCCTACTTCCTGCCTCTTCAGATCTGTACCAAGCTGGGTGCTGAAAATGATGGTCTGAGACAGGGACGGCAAATGACAAACTTCAAGACATATCATATGTGGTCTGGTGTTATATGACCCATGAGCTATGAATGCTAAGAAGGGACATAGTTGATTCCTGAATTGCTGCTCTGCTGTGAGCTGAGCCACAGTGGAAGATGCTGAGACCCAGGCGCCCACTCCTTTGAGGAAGTGTAGAAAACTCAAGTTCTCAGGGACCCAACATTAAAAAGCTGGTTACTGAAGCAACACCCTGGGCTGGTGCTGGCTCCTCGTGCTGAGGCCACTTTCCTGTCACTTATCCTAAGGCACTCCCTTAAGGGCTTTGCTGTCACAGTTACCATCTTACCCATGAGGAGACTAAGGTTTAAGAGGGTAAGGGGGCTTGTCCATGTCACAGTGTGTGGTGCAAAAGAGCCCAAGACAGCTTTGTCAGTCCGAGGTGCAAGGAGTAATCTGCACGACACGTCAGGGCCTCCTGAGGGCTCTGGCACTGGTTCCCAGAGTGAGCAGCGTGAGGTGGCTGCAGGTGGAATAGGACATGAACATCATAAAGCACATTCTTCTGAAGATGCCAGTTTCCCACTGGAGCAGAAGTCCTCACTCAGGTGTTCTGTCCCCCCCTGCAGGGCCATGGAAACTGTTTTGGTTGTCATGACAGGGAGTGCTTGTGTGATCTACCAGGAAAGGACCAGGGAAGCCAACAGATCTGACATGTGGTATTCATACCAAGTATAATTTGAAGGAAGATTACTTGGGACAGAGAGAAGAGAGTCACTGATTTAAAGGCAAAAAAGCCAATAGCATGGCTCATCCACTAAAAGCGCCTGCTATCAAGACTGATAACTTAGGTTCCATGCCCAGAACACATGGTGGTAGAAAAAAACCAACTCCTCCAAATTGTCCTCTGACCTTCATGCTTACACTTATGTGTACATACACTCTGTGCTAACACTTGTACATACAGATATGCGTGCGCACACACACAGACACAATAAATGTAGTATTTTTTTAAAAAAAATTAGTATCAGGGCAAGTTCTCCAGAATAAAGAAGTCATAAATGCAGTACAGGGCTCTTCATAGGTTCGGACCAATGTAGTGCACTTCACTGAAAATGCATGACAGAAGATGCTTGAGAAATGCCACAAGTAGTTTCCAACCAAGGCTAGCTACAGTTGTCTGCTTTGCTTTGGGAGCTATATCTTGTGTGCGTCTTTCCCAAGTACCATCTCTGGATAGCCTAAAGCAGTGTTCAGGATGTCAAACAAGGTTTAGTTTTTTTTTTTTTTTTTTTTCTCAAAAAAGTACTGGCTACTCAAAAGTTTCTCCTCCCACATTCCATGTGATTGTGGAACAAGGAAAATTTGTGTAACTCTTAATGTGAAAAACCAGATCCTAAGGAGGTTGGAATCAGGAATTGGGGTACGAGTAGGGGCAGGATATTTGATGTATAGTTGTAGATGACATCTGTCTCCAACCAGCCCCAGGACCATATGGGGTTCTACTGTTCTTCAGTCGTTGATTTGCATTCCAGTTACTCCAAAGTCTTGGCTACTGTGTGAACAATGTGGCTATAATCCACATGATGGTTCAGGTGTCCCTGGTAGCAATCCAGTGGGTTAGGACTAGCTATATTTGTGAAACTTTGAATTATATTGGGAACAATTAAACAACCTTAACATTCCAAGCCCTACCAGAGGTGACAGTTCATCCTTTGATTGTCAAAGTCTGGTAAAACAGGCATTTATGGAGTCGGGAGTGAGCTTTGCTCATGAGAACCCTGGGCATGGGTACAAGTGGAGACAAATGGTACTCTAGTGTGGGTCACACATGTCAATGGGAACACAGAGCCAGGCCCTGTTAAGGCAGTGTGTGTGTGTGTGTGTGTGTGTGTGTGTGTGTGTGTGTGTTTTAACTGATGAGCAACTGGTTCTCTGAAACTGTAATGAAGGTAAACTCAAAGCTCCATGAAGACAAAGAAAAATCTCATGACCCTGTAAAAGAGGTTATTATATCACAGTATTTTGAAGCTAATAATAATAGTAATGATAACAGTAAAAAATGGAGAAGTGGAGACCCTTTTCATTCTTAAATGGAAGATAGATGAACAGTAGAGGCTGTTGTTTAAAAATTTGGAAGTAGAATGACCATAAGACTGAGTAATCACAGAGTTCCCAGCAGCAGCTTCAGGAGGCATCTGCATATATAGGTTTTAGCCCCACTATTCACACAATAGCCAAAGCATGGAAGCAACTGGAATGTGCATCAATGAGTAAAGGAAGGAACAGAGTGCAACACTGCTGAGCAGTGGAAAGTAAAGGGGGGGGGGGCAAGAAGCAAAAGAAAACTCTGCCACACACATACCCTGGATAAGCCTTTGAGTACAGTATGCTGAGTGAAACAAACCAGTCACTACTATAGATCCTATGTGATTTCCATGCAAGACCCTAGACCTGCCATCTCTCTGGAACGGGCTGGGAGAGTGGGATAGAAGGCTGTGACTTTGTAAGCAGAGTTTACATTTTGTAAGATGACAATGTTGTGGAGATGAGCTTCCCAACAGTGTTTACACCTCGCCCTACTTAGAAATGCTTAAAATGGGCAATTTTACATTATGTGCACACCACACACAGGAGCGTGCGCGCGCGCGCACACACACACACACACACACACACACACACCAGCAGCAGCAGCAGCAGCCACCTTTATTCACAACGGGTAGTTTTTTAATGAGGGTGTCACTCTGAACAACTATAGTGAAGTCACCCATGATGAGAGCAGGCTGTATATTAATGAGTGTGCAAGCCCTCTTTCCATGTCCTTTTCTCTGTCAGGGTAGTACCCTCATGACTGATCCGATCCTAGTCGAAAGAACGCAGGAGTTCTTGACCCGTGGCTGGAGCTGAGCCCTTCCTCAAGGCAGGAGGCACTTCAGCTGGGTCCATCTGATGTCTGCCTGTAGCATTTATAGTACATTGTGCTCGTTTTTATTTGCTTCTACTGGGATGAGAGCCAAGCCAGTAAAAGGCAAACAGCATTAATTCAGTGATGACATATGCCACTGAAAACTGTTTTTCTTTTCTTTTTTTGAATTTTTTTTTTTTTAACCAGAATGAAGGCACTGTACTCAATTGCTGCTGGATTCGGAAATGAATATTGAGAAGAAGGGAGGGGCTTGTGCTTTCCCTACCTCCCTTCTTTATATGCCCAGAGCCCATTAGCCAGTTGTTCAGTTTCATTTGGAAGGTGGTTCTGAAGCAACTACATCCTTTGAGCCCAAGACCCTCCCCTGCATCAGGCAGGATAAGTGGTACCAGCCTCTAGTTCCCCTGGTCAAAAGCATCTCTGTGAGCATGCAAGGTGAGCACTCACAGTCCCTGTGCTCAGAGCAGTCCTTGCCTGCAATCATGTTCCTCCTTGGGTCCCTTCTGGAAATTTCTCAGTGAGTTTTGAACAAGGAGCCTCAGGATTTCATTTGCATTTGACTGACAAATTATTTAGAGTCAGCCTTAGAGTCAGCCTTACAAGGGTCATTTTTGTACTCCTCATGCACCCAGTAGAGGTGGATGTTACCACCTGCTTTCCTCTAGAAGATGAAGGATCTAGAGACTCAGAGGCTGCCAGTCATTTACTCAAAGCCACACACAAACATCCATTTGTAACCAGCGTCACCCGCTCTGAGGCTGAGGAGCTTGCTGTCCTACACACTGCCTCATTTGAACTGAAAGTGTATACAGGAGTCCCCAGGGCTTGCTTTAAGTTACCAGCAGTCAACTATCGTTCAAACAAAATGAAAGGGAAACGCTAGAATTTAATGATTATGTATATGTAGACCAGGCAGGCCTCAAAGTCACAGAGATCTATCTGTCTCTGCCTCCCAAATTCTGGAAAGAAAAGTGTGTACCAGACATGCTCTTCGGTTATGAGAATCTTGAAGAAATGTCACACTGTCTTAACTCCATGCTGGCTGGAATATGAACTGTCTCCCATGTCTCTTATTTTGAGAGGAAAAGCTTTCATTCCAGGATGTTATAATTATCTTATTTTACTGTTATTAATATCTTACTCTAATTTGTGAGTTAAACTTTATCATAAACTTTATGTATAGGGAAAACACAGTGTTTATAGGCTTGTACTGTGTCCTCAGGTAGCCACTGGGGGCCTGAACAGACTTCTACCGATATTGGGGAACTCCAAGTGATTGCTTGTCTCCAAAGGCATGCGGAAGGTTTTGGGGGTCTAACTGACAGCCTGTGTGGGTTGCTGTGTGTTCTTTGTAGCTCCTAGCAGCTCATTCTTCATTAGGGTCTGGACAAACTGTCTTTCTAAAATAGAAAGAATGTGATTGGTTTTTCTTGAGGCCAACTTTGATGCCCCAGTGTCTTACAGGCAGATCCTTGTGCTATGTGTGTCTGAAGTGCTGTGTAACCACACATTTGGGTCTTACAGGGAGGAGTCAGATTTAGCAGTCAGCCAGGAAGTGTTTGCATCCTCTCGGAGCTGGGCTGCTGATGAAGAAACCAGTGATGGAGCCGATGCTCGTAGTTCGGATGGTACAAGTGATGGTGCCATTGATGATAGGATGTAGTGACAGAGATAGGCACAACATCTAATAGTAGCCAGGACAAGACCAGGCAGCATTCTAAATGTTGTATATGTACTTACTCCACAACACTGGGGGCAGTATTATTACCTCCATTTATAGAGGAGGAAACTGAAGCATAGAGAAATTAATGACAGTAATTGTTAACAATAGCTCTCTTACCCAGGGTTACACACAGATGGAGAGATGGTAGATTGTGCTCTGCATTTGCCTGGTGCAGGTACACTTCCAGGCATTCTACACATACCTTTCATTGAGGGTCTCTGGATTAGCCAACGTTCTCTGAAAACAGAACTGACAGAATGAATCTATGTATATAAAAACTGGATCTATTAGAATGGCTTGCAGGTTATGGAAGAACTTATCCCAACAATGGCTGTCTCCTGATGGAAAGTCCCTGAGTCTGGATATCTTAGCTGGTCTTCAGTATACACTGGAGTCCTGAAGAAGTAGGCTCTAATGCCAGTGAAGGGATGGACTTGCCAGTAAGAGAGAGACAAGCAGGCAAAGAGCAGGTGCTTCTCTCTTCCATATCCTTTACATAGGCTGCCACCAGAAGGTGTGGCCGAGATTAAAGGTGGGTCTTGCCCTTGAAATGTCTTACCCACTCAGTCAGGTAAACATGTCTGCAGTTCAGCAGGGCTGGCTGGTTGGGCACGCTCCCTATTCTCTCTGGGCAGGAACCCAGGGTTCAAGAGAGTGACAGATTGTGGGATTTTAACAGGAAATGGAATTCGCTTCCAGGCCCCTGATACACAAGACGATGGTGCTGTGAAGTTGGCAATGAGGCTGACTATCTTGCATCCCATTTGGGAATTGAGTAACAGCCCTGTGTTAGGTGTTCAAAGAAAGACCTACCATAGCCCACGACTGAAATCAAGCACTGTCAGGATGCAAGTGGCTGCAGAGTAAGGTCTCCCGGACAGCCCTGCCTTAGGGGACAGTGTCACACAGCACCACACAATGCTAGGAAGAAGTGACTCAGCCCAGCTCTACCAAAGCTGGCTGTGAATTTGAGGACTGACCCTGTCAGACATGGAGGAGCCCCTCATCAGCACTCTGTGTGGCCCCGGGCCTTTGTGAAGATTGTGTACAAACTTTGGTCATCTTGTGAAGGAAGAGGAAAGGTTGGGCAGAAGCACCAACATATATGCACACTCAGTTTCAGGGGCAACTAGAGTGACACTGACCCTCACAACCACATGGCTACTCCTGTGGCCACCCTAAAGCCAAGAAAATTCTGGAATGGTCTTACAGGTTTTAGAATGGAAGCAATACCAGTGAATGCTTAGAACTGAAAGTGGGGACCACAGACAAGAATTCTTTTCTGTAATGTGTGGGAGAACAAAAAAGGTACTGGGTGTCCCCAGTGCATGAAGGCTTCCCAGGGTAAAAACAGAGCTAACGGGTCATGTGGCCTCAGTTGCCAGCCCTTCTGACACTCCCCCCGTTAGCAGGACCTCTGGGTCCTTGAGGTGCCCCTACTAGCTGCCAGGTAATTGCCTGAGTGAACTGACCCCTGTTGGAGCCCTGCAAAATTATTCCCTTTTGCACCCTGGCTCCTCAGGACGGTTGCCACTGCTTTGCCCTTAAGGCATGAATGGAGAAGAGCACGCACATTAGTTACACTGTCAGGTCTACTTCCTGACTGACCTGGCAAGGGCTGCTCCAAAGTGAGTCACTGCTGCACCCCTGCCCTCTGGAGGTGTCTCTGTAGTGAAAGAATGGATCCAGAAGGCATTCCACAACATTGAGATGCTTCCTGGTTCTAATCAGTGGGGTTTACTGCCTGCCTGTCTTTTCTTCAGTGAGCTGGGGAGCAACTGGGCTGCCCCTGCTTCAGGAGCCTGTGCCTAAAACCAAACACAGGGGAAACCCAGAAAAATGGACTTCGTCACACAGAAACACACCACAAGGCCAGTAATCTTGCCTCTTTAAATATCTGCTCCCAAGGCCTATTATCTCTTGCTTGCTTGGCCCATCTCCCCTCCCTTGGAAACACAGTCTGATTAGCCCCCACATTTAGTTCACTGCCAAGAGACACTCCTGGGCTGGCAGTGTGCTGGTCTCTTTTTTTGCTGAGCAGGTGGGACCCTTGCTGAACGTAAGACAGCTGTTTGGCAGCCGTGGAGTGTTGGGGCCTTCCCTCAGAGATTAGCGTTAACCTGCCTCCTGGGCTGCCTTGGGCTGCACCTGTGTCTCACTCATTAGCCATTCCCAGGCATCTGCCCGTATTTCAAGAGAGACTTAGATGTCCTCCTAAGGTTTCTGGAGATACTAGACACTGGAGGAAAGATCTACTGGGTAAGAAATATTGGGTGGCCAGGAAGAACTCCACCAGTTGGCAGATTTGCGGCTTAGCCCGAAATGAGCTGTGAGCAGGGGGAAGCTTAGTCCCTGTCCTCAGTTTATCTTCCTTTCTGGGCTCTGAGCGCTATTTCTGAGTGCATCCCAGATTCTCTCTGGATTGAGAACGTCCTTGGAGAGCTCTCCATAGAAACACCTGTAATCTCACAAGCAAGTCCATCCTCTTGGCCACTAGTGTGTACCACCTACAAAAGAGGGTGTATTTGGGTTAGGACAGCCATTTACCCCTCTCGCCCTGTGGTGGATCAGAGCGGGCTCAGTTCTTCCTGGAATGGAGCTTGGCATCGTGCATTGACTCTTGGGCTGTCATGTCTGTCCATTGACTGGTACATTTCTCTTGTAGCTGAGAAGAACACCTCTGGAATGATAAGCCGCCCCTCTCCGGGGAGGATGGAGTGGATTATTCCCCTGATCGTGGTCTCAGCCCTGACTTTCGTGTGCCTCGTCCTCCTCATTGCCGTGCTGGTGTACTGGAGGTGAGTATTCAGGGTGGCTGGCCAGGTACTGATCATTGGGGAGGTGGGCATGTGGCCTGTATGTGCAGAGCATTGAAGCAGTGAGCATTTGCTAGCCTTGTGTCTCTAGAAGACGACACAGGCCAGAACTGCCACTGAGGTCCAAGCATTTGTGGTAAACTCCACTTAGAGAACCTGGGAGATCCTCCTCATGTCCCAGCTCTGCTACTTGCTGGATGCCAATCCTTTTTTTGTCTTGAATTTTAATCACCCAAAACTCACAAAAGGAGCGGACAGGTTCCATAGAGCTGCTGGTCTCTCTCAGGCCATGCCTTTACCTTACAGTATTCTCATAGTGCATTAAGGAGCTTTTGTCTTTCAAATATCGCATAGCCTTTTGGTGGAAATTCAATTGGGTGACCACAAAACAGTTACTGTATCATGTGGCTTTTAATCTGCGGGAGGTAGGATGTTGGCTTGTAACCAGCCTTCCATTATCATTGTCGTCTAGAAAGTTCTCACTGTGTCCCCCGAGGAGCTAACCTCTTTGTGGAAATTCCAGAGTTTCCAGCTAGAGTCTCAGCTAAACTATATGGTGGGCAGGCAGCCTTCATCTCTGGAACATGCAAGTCTTCTTCCTTTCATCTTTCATCTAACAGGATTCAGCTGTGTGCACCCTAGTCTTTGTTAACTTGACACAAACTAGAGTCACCTGGGAAGAAGGCAGCCCAGGTGAAGAATTGCCTCCATTAGACTGGTGGGTGTGTTGGGGGGGGCGGACATTGGGGTTTTTGTTTGTTTTTTGTTTTTGTTTTTTTGTTTGTTTGTTTTTGCTTGTTGATTGATGTAGGCAGTCCTAGCCCACTCTGGGCAGAGCAATCTCTGGGAAGATGGCCCTCGCTATGTAAGAGGAGTAGCTGAGAAAGCCAGGGGAGTAAGTCAGTATGCAGCTTATCCTCCCTGGTTCCCACCTCTGCTCTGCTCTAGTTCTTATCCTGATTGCCCCTGATGATGCCTGCAGTAGAGACATGTAAACCTAGTAAACCCTTTCCCCCACCAAGTTGCTTTTGGTCAAGGTGTTCACCACAGCCATGGAAAGCAAGCTAGGGCAATCAGCATAATGGTTAATTTCGATTGTCAACTTGGTTGTATTAAATCCTTAGAAAGATTCACCCTGAAAGTGGTGGGCTGTCATCCAGGCTGAACACAGAGAGGGAAAGGAGAAAGCTGGCAGAGTGCTAGAATCCCTCATCTCTGCTGATTGGTGGAGGTGAAGTAGCTTTTCCTCCTGCTCCCTCATCTTCCCTGCAGTGAAAGACTACACTCAAACTGTGAGCCTAAATAATCCTTCCTCCCCGGAGCTGAATCTGGCAAGGGATTCGCTCATGGCAACAAGAAAGGGAACAAAAGAGCCAGTGGCCACAGGTGTAGCTCAGCTCCTCCTCATCTTCATCCCATCAGTTCTCTTATGTTTTAGTCAGCATCTTGTTGAGACAAGTAAAGCAACAGTGAGAATCAGTGGCTCAGCCTTTGTGGACTTAAACAACAGTGAGAGAGAATCAGTGGCTCAGCCTTTGTGGACTTAAACAACAGTGAGAATGGGTGGCTCAGCCCTCATGGCCTTCTGCTGTAGTAGAGACAGGCAAGAAAGCAACCTAAAGTATTTCTAAGAGAGTTCCATGTGTGAGCTGGAGAAAACTACATTTGGAAAGGAGGACTGGTCATACTGGGACCTAGAGTGGAGCATTCTGAGTGTTCATGAAAATCCTAATTGGGACAATCATATATGAACAAAAACCTAAATCATGGGCTTCATCTTAGCTCAGCCAAATGAACTTTGTAGCAGAGGAGGCAGCAAGTGTAAAAGCCTCCAGGAAAAGTGAGTATGATTGGAGCACTGGAGTACTGGAGAATGTTAGAGGAAGGCAAGGGTAGGAAGGACTGGGTTTAGGCAGCCTTTCAGCCTTTGGACCTTGTTTGTTTGTTTTTCTGGTGTTTTGAAATAGGATTTCTCTGTGTAGACCAGGCTGGTCTTGAACTCAGAGTTCCTCCTGCCTCTGCTGCCTGAATGCTGGGATTAAAGGTGTGCACCACCACACTGTGTGAGTGGGGATTTCTACAGGAGTGTTGTGGTCTGACTTTAGAATTACTTGCTGCTGTGTTAATCTGAGATTGTGAGGAAGAGCATTCAGAGGCCTGGAAAGGCATGCTGGTAGCTCAGAGGAATGGGAGTGGTGTCCTTGGAGGGAAGGCTCAGCAGAAAGGGAGGGCATACATATTAACTGTATGCTCTTAGGTCTGTTCCCAACTGTGTGGGACAGGATACTGTGGTCATCTCAGGCTTCCCCAAGTATGTGACCATAATTCCCCAGCATAACACAGTGGTTCTCAACTCCTAAAGCTGCAGCCCTTTAATACAGTGCCTCATGTCGTGTTGACCCCCAACCATAAAATTACTTCATTACTGTCTCTTTCTCTCTCTCTCTCTCTCTCTCTCTTTTTTTATAACATTTTAAAGATTTATTTATTTATTACATATACAGTGTTCTGCCTACATGCCAGAAGAGGGCACCAAATTGAATTGTAGATGGTTATGAGCCACCATGTGGGTCCTGGGAATTGAGCTCAGGATCCTTGGAAGAGCAGTCAGTGCTCTTAACCTCTGAGCTCTCTCTCCAGCCCCATTGCTATTTCTTAATTGTACTTTTGCTACTATTATGAATCGTAACGTGAATATCTGATATACATTCTCTGAGCACCGATGGAGCAGCTCTACAACTGCCCGTGTCTTCTAATCTTGCCATGCAGAAGTATCTAAGCCGGGCAGTGGTCATGCACACCTTTAATCCCATCACTCGGGAAGCAGAGGCAGGGGAATTTCTGAGTTGGAGGCCAGCCTATAAAGTGAGTTCCAAGACAACCAGGGCTATACAGAGAAACCCTGTCTCAAAAAAACCGGGGGGTGGGGGGGAAGCGGCAGTCCCAGCATCTGGTGGAGCCATGTTTGTAGGTATACGCTTATAATCCCAGCATTTTGATTTTGAAAGCAGGGGCAGGAAGATTGCAACTTCAGAGTCAGTCTGTATTGTGTAGCTATTTTGCAGCAGTGTGGGCTACATGGGGGTTGGGCACTTGTACCAGGCAGTTCTGGAGAGAAAAAAAAGCCAACTAGACTATATCCCACACTGTTTCCTTATACAGATCATGGCAACTGAGAAGGGGCTGGGAACAGAGTAGCAGGATAGGCACACACATCAGGCAGCTAAAGAGCACATCTCTTGTGCACTTTGATTCAAAAAGCACTTGGTATATAGGATAGGCAGCTCTAAACCACCTACTGTTCAAGGCATACTTTCCCTTAAGATTGAAATGACAACTGTTTATGTTTCTGAAAAACTCCTTAGTCCAAATGGAAAATAGATTAATAGTTCATGCCAAAATATTGTAACTTTCCCCCTAAAGCTTGGTTTGAAGTGCACAATAATGACTGTAAAAGAAGAAAAGTCCTGACAGCAAGAAAAATAAAACTGAATTCATGCTAAGATGGGTATGCTGGCAAAGCATGAGAACAGCCTAGAGGGGACAAGGGCCTTTTTTCTGTCCAACTTTTTTCCTGTGATTAACATGAAAGGAAGCAGCACGAGGCAGCTCACATAGAGAATTGGCAAGCACGACAGAGACTTGTGTCCCCATGGTGGTGTGACTTTGAAGCTAGAGTAGCAATATGTCTCTGCCTTTTCAGGCATGGAGACAGGATGGCTGAGATAACTGACAAAGGGACTTGACATGAGCAGAGCAGTAGGTTCATCTGGAGTCATGTCCTCAGGTGGCAAGTACAGCACCCACAGTGTCAATCCACAGTGGCAGCAGCCTAACTGTAGCACCGATATTTTGTAGCCAGTTTTGTAGATTGAGTGTGTTCACCTAGAGCTGTTGATGCTGCAATTAACCATTCATGAAAAAGTGTAAAAATGAAACCCAGGGTCCCTGAATTCTCTGTTTCCTATTGTAAAGTTGGAGAGTGTGATAATGTTCAGCAGGTCTACTTTGAGTGCCAGGCATTGTGTCAGACCCTTGGGTGGTGCTGTCTCCTGTGATTTATACAGATCTGTGTGGTAGGTGGGAGGTCCTTTCCTTTCTTTGACCTGGAGAGATAGGGAACTGACATTTGTTGAATGTCAGGCAAAATGCAGTGTTATTAGAGAACCTTTTGGTTGTATTTGACACACAAATCAAATTCCCTTAAGCCCAAGGTGTGGGGGGGCTGGGGGGTAATGTTGATGCATTGCTTCAGGCGTAACTAATCTTGGAAGATAGAATAAGGACATGGCGGGCTGACATGTTTGTCCTTCATGGGAGCCCTCTGGTCTATGCTAGACTCCCATCACTCCATCCCAACAGAAAGGGACTTTGTCATCTAACAGTTCCAGTGAGGTTCCAAAATATTGTTTCTCGATGGGCATGGTGGAGCACACCTTTTGTCCCAGCACTCAGGAGGCAGGACAATCTCTGTAAATTCAAGGCTAGCCTGGTTTACAGAGCGAGTTCCAGGACAGGCTCCAAAACAAACAAAAAAGGTGTTTCTCATGTCTGACTTTGGTCATCTGACCACCACCAGAGTCTTCTGGTAGCTGAAGGATGGAATATGCCCATCATGCCTAGGTTTAGCTCTGGATCCCAAAATTAGCCTTTCCACCATTATCCTCAAAAATATGAAGTGAAAGCTAGCTGGTGGTAGTTTCTCAGGGGACTGTCCAGGTTTATAAAGGCAGCTAGTTTCGAAGGTTCAGCTAAGTGTTCTGTTATTTATGTAATTATGAAGCCATTTCTGCCATTGCATGGACATGGTCTTGTATGAGACTTCCTGCTGTTTATATGATGCTTCTGGAGTTTGTATCATGCATTGTGGTATGCTTGGTGATTCAGTCACAAAGCCCTTAGGGTTCATTAAAGAATTGGGTGTGTGACATAATGAAGTATGGAGAATGTTCATGGACAGCTAAGTGCACATTGGGCTTCAA